TATATATATATATATATATATATATATATATATATATATATATATATATATATATATATATATATATATATATAGATTAATTTGGTTAACCATTTATTCAGTTAGTTTTACTAATTCATTTTTACTAACATTTTTATTTATGTATCCTATAATTCCTGGGTCTCATATGAAACATGTAAACTTGATTTCACTCGTATATTTGCAAAAGTCTGTAAAGAAATATTATACCTTCAAATTCAGACTCTTCTTGTACTGTTTTAGGACATTTCTTGACTTCCATTAATGCGCCAACACATTTTTGTAGATTGTAGCATTTCCGTCTTCTTATGCTTCTTTCACCAGCTCTTCTACATGGTGACCAATTGCTCCATTGTGAGAAATGATCCTGAAAGCGAATTAGTTCAGCAAGTTTTTTTAAAGGTATTTAACCTTACATGCTTTTAAAATAAGTGAACTTTTACATTCGATGGACGTTTCTATTAACATTCTTCATAGCTCAGACACGAAAAAAAAGATACCTCAAGACTGAAACAAATAGCCGAAACTTAGAGACGAAGAAATAACGAACGAAAAGCATTTAGTTCGAGAATTATTCAAAGGTATTTCAAGATAAGTTCTCGTATTCAGACTATATGAAGCAAATTATAAACAAAAAAATGTCCTAAGTAAATAAATGAATAAGTAAACGTACATCTTTGAATCCGCTCAGTGTTATAATTTTCAATCGTTTGACTGGTTTCTGCGCTTTAGTTCTTTCCTGAACTATCACTACTACTGAATTCGTCCTCTCTGTATGTTGATTTTCAACCTGAGATGGTAATGGCCTAACCTGAAAGTTGGGAAAGTTCTGCAATCCGATTAAATTTATGTCCGGATAGATAGCTTATTATCTGAAGTGTTGTCCACTGGAACAAATGGCTTTAATAAAGTAAAATGATAACCTTCAGTTGTTATTTTAACCGGTGAAGAAAGTCAGATGAGTAATTCAAGTGCAACGTTGTTCTTGGATAATTATGAATATTACGAATAGAGAAGGGAAAAAAAGAAAGTGACCTCTAAAGACAAATTTTTTTCGACCGTATTTTCTTCATTTTCTTCCGATGTAAATTCCTTTGTCATTTGCTGAAACATCATTGTTTAGGAAGGAGAATAAATTTATCCAATCGGTATTATTATTGCTACGATTGCCTGGATCTTGGGTAATACCATTCTATCCGGAAATCTAGAGAGTAATCATGGATCAATTTTCAAGTTCTCCGTACTTATTGAAACTTACTGCAAATATTAGAACTTACGATAGGTATCATGTGTAATCCCTGTTTGCTACGTTAAACTGATATAATTGTATGCGGTATTGAGCATTCAGGTACAGAAGTATGATAGTAGTGGTAGTTTATGAAAGATCATCATCAGTGATCGGAAATTAACCTTTAACTTTGTTTGCTTCAGTGATTTGAGTCGTTTGTCGGAGCTGGCTCTACCACTGCCAGTTCCCAATTTTTTAAATTCTGGTCCAGCATCTTCGACATTTGTTTAATGGTGCTTGCTGTTGTTAATTCTTCGACTGAGCCAAATTTTCCTGTGGAATCTGTCTCGATTAAGTTGTCATTTTCCTCTTCGTAACTGTCGTGATAAACACGATCATTCAAATCGTTTTGCTGTTTCAGTGTGTTTTCTTCAGTGGATGAGTTGACAATAGTAATGTCATCCATGTTTGTTATTTCCTTGTCTTCTTTTGTTCCTTTGCTGTTGTTATCTTCATTATCATTAACATCATCAATATGTTCATCTGCTACAATAAGCAATGATTCCGTAACTGTAAAAGGAAAAAAGATGATGAAATGACTTATCTGATTATAATATTGGAAATGTTAGTTTGACAGATAAGCTAACATTTTCAAGGAAACATTGCAAATGACCGTAAATAATGTTTAATGTTTCAAAGTACATTCATCAGTTACCAGTGTAACGTCTTCATGTTCAAATTAAAATTATTGCTTAAAAACCGAATTTGCATTTATATAATCCCAAAAAGATTTGTTAGAATATTCAGAATGCCTGTAACCTGCTGTTGTTAAGTTTTCCAATTGTCTTTGTCGTGCTAGTATTGCTGGACAGCCATTTTGTATGTAAATAACCTTATCATTTTCTTCTCGAGCAAATGATGTTGGCTGGGTCATGGCTGATTCCGTGTTCGTTATGCATTCACCTTCCGTGTAAAAATACATTGCCGACTAAAATGTAGTTCAAATTCAAGTGTTTTCAGCATATAAAGGTTATGAGATTTTCATTATTATTTTAGAAATATCACCTGACCTATGTGCTAGTCAGTCGCTTCGTCTTAAATGTTCTATCATTGGTCGGCACATAACACAAAGAAATTTTTTCTTGTTCAATAGAACTACACTAAAATTTTTAGGATTTTTTTAAGGATAATCCAATATCTAAGCAATATACTCTGCACTGAAAATGTTCGGTGAGGCATTGCTCGATACATTCCTCAATAGATCTTGCCATTGAAACATTTTTTGCATAACCAATGATGACTGACTGATCTATCTTCAAGAATCGACTATCTGCACATTCGGTTGGTGCATCTTCTGTAATCTCTTCTTATCAATATGAACTCTATTCCACTTTTTTCACTTTTATTTTTTGACTCATTTCCATTCCACTGATAGACATCACTTTCTTTTACATTAAAGTTATTATTGCCAGAGTCCTTTCAGTGTAGAAAGAAAAAAGAACTGTGTATATAAATTAAAAAGTGATAGGTTTTTACTGGATTAGTTTATTTTTTAAATAATTTCATGTTTTTAAGTGACTGAGATATTTATATTAATTTCCACTACCAAATATTAATGGATTATTGAATAAAAATAGAAGTTAATAGCGAAAAAAAACTCATATTTTGTGTAATAAATGATTCCTAAACACATATTCAAACCTTTGTACTTTGAAATCCCTCCGAATAATTATTACATATTGTACCCATTACCAACACTTATTATTTACTAATTGCTTATACTTTTCTTTATTTTTAGTAAATGAAATTTTACAAATTTTGGTTGGCATAAATAATTTTGCAGAAGAGGAAAAATTGATTGTTGAAAAAAAAAAATGAAATGCAAAGAATGGAGATGAGTGATCACTTATGCAAAATTTCTCGAAGAGACGTTGTCCTGGAGCAATCTCGGTTTTTAAGTCACCTTCCGGATAACTTTTAGATCGGTAAATTGTGCACACAAAGGTTGCCTGATCATAAACTACGGATGCACACAATATTGTCCGGCCATTATTATCCTGAAAGAAGCATTTATGAATATCTTATGGTTTATTGCTTCATAATACTAAGGAAAACGCTTTAGGATGGCAACTACAAAATTCTTTAAAATAATATTTTTACAAAAAAAAACTTCAAACAACAAATGAGATATTGGAATCAAATTAGACTAAATGTTGTAATGAATAGTTGTTAGTTGGGAAAAAAGAATCCGATGAAATAATATTGTTTATTGTTTAGTAGAAGACAAGTTTGCATTCCTTACAATTTGATAATTTTGGAAGACTTACTCTGTTATTGCTGCACATCTTTAAGCAAACTTCCTCAGCAACATCCTTATAGACTAATGAACTACTCGATGCAAGACATGTATTGTCGGACACAGTGAAGGCAGTCAAACGATTTTCGCAAAGCACTAAATATAAGATTAATTATTTTCATCGATATTTGCTATTTCGTTGTGTTCTATGACTGTAATAGTTGTTTCAAACCAGTTTTCAGGGCTTTCAAAGTGACAAAAGTCATTTTGAGAAGTTAAGCTAATTGTTCCTGTACATCATTATTTTATTGTCGATTGCATATCTTGTTAATTAACATGCAAAAATTGAAATTTATCTAACGAACGCCGCCACCTATAGTAAGCGAGAGGAAAAGTTATCAGGAACATAGAAGAGGATACGAGAGGTCAGTGCTAGCATTTCATGAGACTCCTCAAAATAAACTGAAATATGAGATACATTTGGAGATATAAGTTCGGAAAGTTGCATAATCTCACCTGCAGTAGGAAATGAAGAGACTTCATCTTGTACGTATTCTGAATTTTTAGTTGTTTTATCGGCTTTAATTGAATTGAATGAGAAGAAAACAACGAAGGAAATGAAACCCAACACGTGCAAATACCACATTGTAGCAATATTAACAAGCAGATGGACAAACTTGGATACAAAAGAAATCTTTGACGTAAAAGAGTAAAGAGCTTGGAAGGTTTGTGTTGTTGAATGTTCACACAAACACAGGTGGAAATAAAACAAGTGACAAGAGATTGTTGAGAAGGATTAAATGATAATGGGCAAAGCCTTAAACAGAGATCGTAAGATGTGCATTCCATTCCTACCACTCCTACAGCATATAATGTTTTGGGTCATCACCTAAATTTCTGCGACAAAATTTTGAATCGAACTGATTTTCAAATGAATTGAAATAACAACAGCGGTCACTATCCGGCCGTTCTTCCTATATTCTCCTGCATTCCACTTTTCGGATGCATGCGATCCGGATTATCGATACAGCTGCAGTTACAATCCGATTACCAAATATTGTAATTTTCCCTGCTTTTTCATCGGTTATCTTGGATTTTGTCAGTATGGAAGCACAGATCACACTCGGAAATATATTACAACATTAATGATTCTCAATTTTTTCATCGTACAGTTTTGGAAATCCACTAGGGAAATTCTTGCCATATCTGCAAATGTTCACACCTTGTCAATGATTAAAACTTATCCATATATTTTTGCGAAGTTCTTCAAATATTTTCCGTTACCCATCCTCAAAAATGTAAAAGGATAAGAGCAGAGTTAGTGATAAAAAAAATTGGCTCAAATAATGCGAACTTCAATTGGGATCTAGATTTGAGAGATTTGAGACAATTTTGCAGGATGTAAAATGTCCGTCGTTTCGTTGACGGTGCTCATCGCATTTGACTGCTACTGCTGCTACTACTACTGCTGACATTTTTGATGTCAAAGCTTTTAAATAATTAAAATTCAACTGCTGCTACACATTTTTATTATACAACGTGACAAGTATTGCATTACTAGACAAAGTTTCCTGTAAATCTACCGAGATTTCATGAAAGATACGCTGTTAGAAAGTAGTAAAATAACCAGTGACCTGTTGACCTGTTTTGACAGATATTTATCAACCATCTCAATTTTCTTCCTAGGCAGTTCAACATTTCTAACCACAGTTAATATGAAATCAGCGACATATATTGCTTTCTGAATCGTAAAGAACCCTGGCAGAAGCGGTTACTATGCAAAACTTAGTACTTATGGATTAAAATAAAAGTCTGTTTTGCAGAACACTTCCAAACATTCATACAGTGCAGATGTTCTATTTTACTGAGCTATGAATTCCAAAGGCAGTTACTATTAAATTAAGAATTATAGTGATGTTGTCGTTTCTATTAATGATATTTTCATCCAGTGCAGTATTACAAACGGATACTGAAGGATGGATGCCAAAAAGATATCCCGATTCACGCTCGAATTTCACACAATGTCATACATGGCCTGGATCAGCATTTTGTGATCCGGATCATGTCCTGACTGGTCAGTGACGACTAGATATCAACAACATCAGTTTACAAAATGACAGTACGTTCAGTGTCTAAATCTAATTGGTTCCTTTTAATCATGCCATATTTTATTTTGAAAAGTTTTATTTACTATTTTACAAAATTTTTGATCGTGATTATAAATTTCTAGTTTACCATTGTTTTAGTGCTAAAACAGATCGACCATTTCCACAATAAAAATGCACTGGAAAAATTTCATCAAAACAATACTAAAACCACCACAAATATGTGTTATTTTAGCGAAACGTATTCAAACACAAATGAACCAAACAACAATGACCATCAAAAATACCTTGGCAGTTGATCAAACTGACGAAATCAACTGATTTCGTCAATTGCCAAAATTTCCAAATTTATTTCAATTTGAACTTAAATTGTTTACGGGTAGATTTACTAATTCGGAGAGAGCGAAAGTGCTTAAAAAACCGAGTCCATAAATTCAGGCAAATTTCGGCGGCGAAATTATCAAGGAATTTGATTTGGAATCAGGATTCTGCAGCAATTTTATCACTATCCTAGGTGTGGCAGATAACAAAGAGGTGTTCATACGAGTGCGCTTCTTTTCGATTTTTCTTTTCGAAAAAAAAGTCTCTTTCACGAAGGTTAACAAAGAAAATAAATGATGATTTGAGAGTTTTTCTAAATGCAAAGTGATTAGCAGGCTGGAGAACACTTAGACCTACCTGATGATTTTCTGAGCAGGAAGTTCGGAAAGTATAATGACCTGTTCAATGCAAGGAGTCATATAGAAGGTTTAAATGATGTCATCACCGAACTGGCCAAAAAAATTATCGACCATTTTAATATAGGTTTAGTTTTTTTGGACACTTAGAATTTGCATTAGTCGAGTGAAGTTATGAAAATCTTGGAAGCATTTTCAAAACTTTCTATGTATACCGAACCTAACAACAAATCGGCTTTGCTCATTTCGTAGAGGTATGCGGAAAAATTTGATTAATAATTACATCACAATGAGTTATTGAATTAGACAACTTCAAATATTTTGCGCAAGTTAGGAGAATATGTAGCTTGCTGTTGATCTCATGACACTTTTTTCTGCCTTCATTTGCTGTTTGACTGTATGAGTGAAGTGGTTGGATATCGCTTGTCTTTGTCCTTTTGCGCTCTTGAATTGTTCGTTATCA